AAAAAAATTAGGGGTTAAAATCTTTTTTCAAAACCCTTGGGGGGGCCCAAAAGTATTTTTAAAAAAAATTTTTCCCAAACCCGCATTTTTTTTTTTTTGGGGGGGTAAAAGGCCCCCCCCCCCCCCCCCCCCCCCCCCTATGTAGTACCGCCCATGATACAAGTAATATTATACAATGCCCGCTTGGGTGTAGCTCAACTGGTTCCGGGGTGGTAAGTTGCTATAGGGTCCTAAGATCGAATCCTGGTAGCCGCAGTGTGGGAATTTCAACTCCAATGAAAGTTGGTTCTTTGTTGGCACAAAGTCCGAGTTGACTACCCTAACAGACTCGTTGAGTTACCATGATTTACATTCATCTATCAAATGCGTGTCCGACTAAGGGATAAGGGCCCAGGGGCGAGAGATTTCTCCTTTATTGATACAAGTAATAACATACAATTATTTTTACAATTAAGGTAACCAAGAAAGAAGAATGTGATTAAACATCCAATTGGGGCCTTAAATTCGTGTCATGAATCATGATGTGGGTACTAATTACACTTACTGAAAATTACACTTTTGCCCCATTTGGTTGCCAATATAAGACTTATTAACTAAATAGTTAGACTTAATTTGATGTTTCGTATTCTCAATAAATTGTCGGGTCGACCTGCTAAAGTTATATAATCATGACTTATCTTGACTTATCTTGCCTTCTAATGAGTTTTTTTATTGGACGTTTCAAGCTCCAATAACATAATTGGGTCTCATTATGATAAGGAACGTCAAATTGGATTTAAATTGCAAAATAACTATTTAATTCGGATAAGAGTTATTAATGGACATCGGTGGAGATATCGAAAGAAATTATGGAAAAATAAGGGTTTTCAACGAACTCAAATTGTATTTGAGTACGAAAGGAACTCTATTTCAAGTGAAACGGCACGAGGAACAAAACTCATGAACAAAGCTCATGAATCACGTCAAATTTCAGCAATCCAACGTCGTTTAGACTCCTAAAATTTTGTTTTTGCTATTTTAGGTAAGTTTTAGAAAATTAATATCTTTTCTTAGTTTAATTAGGATTTTCAGTTTTTTAGTTTAAATAGTTGCCTTAGAACTTTATTTTAAGAAGAATTTCGAATTTTAATAAAATCTTTAGAGTTTCTCTGTTTTTCTGGTGGATTCCGAATGTGATTTTGTTCTATAGGATTAATTCGTAGAAATTAATTCTTTACCGTCACATTAGATTATTTAATCTTATCTTGTCAACCAAAATGGACCTTATAATATTCATATTATTATGTATCCGATCCTTCCACTTTTCACCCTAGGTAATGTATATCCAACTGTACATACACCCACTACATGTTTTACAAACATCAATTGTGTGCGATTTTATTTTAAGTCCACATCTATATTATTGCCTACGAATTTCATTAAGTGTAACATTTATAAGACCGAATATATTTTTATGTATTAAGTTTTATTCCTTGTTAATATTGTAATCGATGCAGTTAATTACTAGCTACCAAGGAGAAATGGTAGTGGAAGCTACACGTATTCGTAGTCTCGATCCCATATTGATGCCATTATGCCAATAAAGGATCGTAATTGCTCAATAGACTACGGTGGTTGCGGCTTATTAGGTGAAGCGTACGATTGTGGATACAGGTGCGAGAAAACGTGGGGCCCATTTAATCCACCGTACACGTTGTGAGATTGCAACGATACCAAACATGGGATTACGATGCTATTGCTATCACGGTTGTTTGAAAATAAAATTAAAACATAAGGTTTTATTTTTAAGAAAAATAAATTTCGACTAATAATTATTTGTTGTGTTTTTTTTTTCTTCCCATTTTGTAACAATAGTTGTGAACCAATATAAATATATTTGAAAATTGGATTTGGACAATTTAGCTCAAATCCGATGTACCATGTTCTCTTCTTTCTGCTATTACGGGCTACGAATCCCGAAAAAGAGTCGCAATTTGGTTTTGTAGCGCGAAATTAACATGTACAAATAATTCGTTTTCGAAAAAAAAAATTGACCGACAAATTAGAAAATTCGTGCTAGCTAGTTAATATTATGGATATTTGTTAAAAAATTCATAAAAAAATAGAAAAATTAGATTTTCAATCATCCAATAGATTATTTGATGAAAAAATCGAGGGTTTCAAAATTAATATTGAAAAAGTGTTTCAATGTTTGTATGATAGTAATATTCATAGGTTTCCATAATTTCACATGTTCTTCTTTTGTTAGGAGTATTATGTTTCCTTGTACGACTCAGTTTCCACTTCCCATATATATATATATATATATATATATACCTTGAACCCTAAGGAAGAATATATTTGTTTTTATATTACTATATTGTTTAATTCTCTCGATACATATACATATACGTATTTTAGCGTCCTCTTTAATTTGTGTAATTCATAAAATAAGTAAATCCGACGGGATGAAGAAACAGATCGCCGCCGAAGATGATTCCCCGCCACCGCAGGAGAGAAGTTTCCAGAAGATAAAGAAACCGGAGAGGCCTGCGCCGCCGCTTCAATCCGCCGCAGCAAAAGAGTGGAGGATAAGGGTTAATCCAAAGCCCGTAAAAACAGAGCATGAAATTAGCGATCTCGCTGAAAAACTCAAAGGCGTTGATTTATCAAGAACAACCGCCGCGCCGGAGTTGAAGAAATTCAGACAAAAATCAAAGGTAAATCCACCAAGAAGAAGACCACGCCACGTGGAAATCAGACGAAGCTTCCCTATCTACAAGCTGAAGAACGAACTCGTTCAAGCCGTCCACGATAACCAGGTCCTGGTCGTCATCGGAGAAACCGGTTCCGGCAAAACCACCCAGTTAACTCAGTACCTCGCCGACACCGGTAAATACACCACCGACGGCAAAAAAATAGGTTGCACTCAGCCTCGCAGGGTGGCGGCAATCTCCGTCGCTAAAAGAGTCGCCGAAGAATTCGGCTCTCCGTTAGGACAACAAGTCGGCTACACGATCCGGTTTGAAGATCGAACTTCTCCGAACACCATTATCAAGTACATGACTGATGGAATGCTTCTGAGAGAAATTTTCACCGATAAAGAATTGTCCGATTACTCGGTAATAATTCTCGACGAAGCACACGAGAGAACTATTCACACCGACGTACTCTTCGTCCTACTTAAGGAGCTTCTCGTACGGAGGCCCGATCTCCGCCTGGTTGTAACTTCCGCTACTTTGGATGCGGAGAAATTTTCCGAATATTTCTCCAACTGCAGAATATTCCGGATTCCCGGGAGAATATTCCCCGTCGAAACAATCTACGTAGATCCGCCGGATGACCGCGACTACGTCGATTTGTCGTTGGATATGGTATTGCAGATTCATGCGACCGAACCGGAAGGTGGCGACATACTCGTGTTCTTGACCGGTCAAGAAGATATCGATTACGCGTGCCAATCACTCCACGAGAGGATGGAGGAAATTTTACGCGAATTACATGAAGAAAATATATATATTCGAGAGCTGATAATTTTACCGGTTTACAGCGCTCTACCTAATGAAATCCAATCGAGGATATTCGAACCGGCGCCTCCGGGAAAGAGGAAAGTCGTATTCGCCACAAATATCGCGGAAGCTTCTCTGACGATCGACGGTATATTCTACGTCATAGATTGCGGGCTCGCAAAGCAAAACGTGTACAATTACAAACGAGGCATCGATTCTCTGGCGACAGCTCGTATATCGCAGGCGTCAGCACAGCAGAGAAAAGGTCGAGCTGGTCGCACAGGGCCAGGAAAGTGCTTCCGTCTCTACACAGAGAGCACTTTCCTGAACGAAATGGGGGCCGCGACCCCCGAGATACAAAGGATTAATCTTTGTACGACCGCTCTTAACTTGAAATCGATGGGCATAAACGACCTAGTTGCGCCATCTTTCGATTTCATGGACCCACCTCCGCCAGAGGCACTAACTTCCGCCGTCGAACAGTTGCGCAAATTAGGAGCGCTCGATAAAAACGGGATCGTCACAAATTTGGGTAAAAAAATGGCCGAATTTCCGCTCGACCCACCGATGTCGAAGATGCTTATCGCCAGCGTAGATCTCGGTTGCAGCGACGAGATTCTGACGATCACCGCGATGATCCAGACGGGAAATATCTTCTACCGACCGAGGGACAGACAGGACGAAGCCGACAAGAAAAAGGAAAAGTTCATCCACCCTAGTGGGGACCACCTGACACTTCTCACGGTTTACGAGTTATGGAAAAAGGCGGGGAAATTTTCGGGGCAATGGTGCTACGACAACTTTGTGCAGTCGCAGTCTTTGAGGACGGCGCACGACGCGAGAAAACAGCTCGCTTCGATTATGGAGAGGCTTGGATTGGGTGTTGTGAGCTGCGGCAAGGATTTTACGAGGGTTCGAAAAGCTGTGGCGGTTGGGTTCTGTTTGCATGCGGCGAAGAAGGATACGCTCGGAAGAGGGTACGTGAGATTGGTCGATAATCGGAGTGTTTATTTGCATCCGAGCAGTAGTTTGTTTTCGAGACAGGCGGCTATGCCTGAATGGGTTGTGTATAATGAATTGGTGATGACGACAAAGGTTTATATGCGCGAAGTTAGCGCCGTCGATCCGAAGTGGATTTCAGTTCTTACAACAAAATCAAAGAAGAGCAAGTTGATCAAGAACTTATTAGACAAGTAATTAATTAATAGGTTAGACAAGTCTTTTATTTTTGTTTTTCTGTAGCAATTTTTTTTTAGAAGGTTTAGGTGTGAATTATGTTTTTGAATAAGGGAAATATATGAAAAGTGTATGATTTATGATATATTAGATTGATGTTGCATACTTTGTTTATTTATTTTATCTAATATTCATTCCAATTATGTCCCGAAAAGTTTCGAAAAATCGGACATTGCAATTTCGAAAATTGGAACAAAAAATAGTTGTAACAAAATTTGAACTTTTTGGATTGGAATTTTCGGAATTCAGAATTTTTTTTTTGTCACCTATATTATAAAATAAAATTAAAAAAAATATTTAATGTGTAATTTACTTTTTGATCACTTGTTTGCATGTAGTAAACTATACAATGGTTTCTCAATGGCACATCGGTGTCCTAACATTCCCTTTCGGCACGCACCGCGCACCTCTCTACACACTCCTGATGCAGAGGCTGGCAGCCAGCCTTTGCACCAGCAGGCACTCGATTTTCTTTCTTCAATACCGCGATTTCTAATAGCCGCATGAATTTTTCGAACTCGTGCTCGAACGTGAAAGCGTACAATGTGTGGGACGGGACCCTGAAGGACATGCTTTCGGCGGGTCCCACATCGAGGCGGGGGCAGTTCCTCGAAGCCTCACCTGGTAATTTCGAAAATGCCATTGAAGAAGCGGAAGACGAAACCCGGTCTGAAAATCAGCTGCTTGATAACTGATGCATTTCTGTGGGTTGCCTGTGAATTGGCTGAGAAAAGAGGAATCCCATGGGTGCCCTTTTGGGCTTCAGCCGCATTTCCCCTCTCTGCACATGTTCACATTGATGAAATTCTAAAATCTTTGGGGTCAAACTGTAATTATTACTATGGGGTTTATGATAAACTCTTATAACAAGTTTATTGTATTTAGGTGGTGTTTGCAAAAACTTTTTGAAAGTGATTATGAGCTTTTTTTCTCCTCATAATCTGTTTTTAAGTGTTTGTAAAATCAACTTTTGCTTTTATTTTTTTTAAAATAATCTGCTTTAAGCTATTTTTTAAAAAATATCCCTAACCTACAAAGTTCATTTTCCAAAATATTTACAAACACCCCCAACTTTTAGAATTAAACACTTAAAACCAACTTAATTTACAATTACTAACTTTTACTTTTAAATAAGCTTTCGCAAACACCACCGTAGTACTCCTGATTATATCGAATTGCTTAAAAAGTTGTGTCTTATAAACTATCTTATTTGGCACAAAGTCTCCTAAAAACTGATTCTTTAAGGTAGTTTGCTAAAACAAATTGAATCAAAAAAGGCACTGTAATAAGTAATTAAATAGCACGGAGAGTTTGTTTTTAATTATTGAAATTATAGGGGTGCCAATTGCAATAAACATTTTTTATAACAAGAATTGCTAAACAGACTAGTACCCTGTTATGATGATGAATAATCTTGAATTAATTTCAATAGTTTGAATTCTTACTAGCGGATCAAGAAAAACAGACTAGTACCCTGTTATTTATAACTGAATTTTCAAAGGTGCGTTACTCCGGTCTTCCACCCGAGATTTTCTTGGATCGAAACCCCTCACCGATGGCGAAATTTTTTCTTCCAATCTTTTACATGGAAAAAAGGACTTAGGGCCATGTCTTTTTCCTTTTCTATTTTTCAGGATTTGCAACAAAAAAGAGCTTGGAACAAATTCAGAAAAAGTGGATTTGGAAAGATCGCATTTTAAAAAATAGGGAGGACTGAATTGAAATTTTTGAAAACTTCATTTTCGTGCTGAGAATTTTGGGGTGAATCTGTAATTTTTAAAATATCTAACATAAAGGGTATTTAGGCCATTCCAGGTCCAAAAACGCACCCCTAGACACACATACGGCGAGTGCAGCGCATGATATTCTGTTAGGCCCTTTTTTAGCTTTGACTAACTTTCGTAGGGAGGTCCTTGCTAATTTTTTAATATAGGGGTGTTTTCGGGAATTAGAGATTTCACAATGGTAATTTTTGCAAACAAGCCTTTAAGTTATCCCTACATCAAAAGAAAACTTAAATTCCATTATTATGTTTTTCTTTATTTTTTATTTAAAAATACCTATACCTAATTTGATTACCAATTTTTTTTAATAATATTTCAATTTAATTGTCTACTAATTTTTGAAGGGCAAATTGCACATCGCCCCATATAAATTTCTAATTTTTAAACTTTACCCCTTCAAATTTTAAAAAATTGATTGTCCCCCTTCAAAATATTATTCTTGTTGCACATTACCCCGATAGCGAAATTCCGATGGATTATTCACCAGAATTGAGTATTTTTATTGCATGGTGCCCCTTCAAAATATTATTTTTTCCATGTTGCCCCTTTAAAATATATTTTTTTGCACGATGCCCACCAAAAATTGGCTTTTGGAAGCAAAGTGCAACCAAAATAATATTTTGAAGGGGAATTACCCCTTTTTGAAAATTTAGAGGGGAAAGTGCAAAAATAAAAAAAATTATAGGGTGTGAAGTGCATTTTCTCATTTTTTTTAATAGTATTATAATTTCTAAACAATCAAATTAAAAATAAAAATTATAGACATATAATGAGCTAATTGCATAGATCCCTGTGTAATTTCGAATGGCCAAAAAGACCCTTGTGTTAAAAAAATTAGCAAAGACCTCCCTATATTTTATTTTGCAAAACACACTGCCCCTTACATTAAAATTAGGTGTTGACTTACATGAAATGACGAAACCACCCCTAGTTAGAACAACCCAAATAGCCCACACTACAACACAAAAAATAGGAAAGTTTGAAAACTCTTCACTTTGGGGGCGACGATGGAGTTGAAGATGACCGACCACCTCAAGAGTATAAATATAAAGAGCATAAATAATTATATGGGGCCTCTAATTTTTTTTTTAAAGCCAGGGCCTCTAGGCGACCGTCTCTCTCATCTATCCTAAGAACTATCCCGCAATTAACTATACATTTCATTTTCATCTGAATTTTAAAATTAAAAGTAGTACCAATTGATCTCTATTTTATTTTCTTTATGTTTAAATTTTATTGTTAAGGTTAATATATTGAATCGAGACTTTTGGTTATATCTTTCGATAGGGATAATTACATTTTTGGTCCTCATGTTTGATTCGATTTCACTTTTATTCCCCCTTGTTCCAAAGTGAACAAAGTTCACCTCCAAGTTTCAATTTTAAACAATTTTGATCCATGCCGTTACATGTCCGTTAGCAAATAACGTAAAACACTATTTTGGGGTGAAAAGTGAAATATTAAATTGTTTTGGGGCTGAAAAATAATTACAAATTTAAAATAGACTACTTATAATTTTTAATTATAAAAAAAGAAATTAACGAAACAAATTATTTTTTATTATAATTAATATTATTATAATTATACTACTTATAATTAAATTTTTAATAATAAAAAAATTAACTAAACAAATTATTTTTAATTATAGTTAATTATTATAATTATACTACTTACAATTAATTATTTAATGATAATTTTTTTAGCCAAAAAGATTTTATTATTCCACTACGATAAAACGTTTTGGGGCCTCGTTAAAACCTTGTGGTCCTAACACAAGGGAAAAGAGTACCCCTTATAATGGTAATAAAAAATCCGAAGCGACCCATCGAGTCTTTTATTTTTAATAATAAAAAAAGAAATTAACTAAATAAATTATTGTGAATTATACTTAATATTTTTTTAATTATACTAATTATTATTTTTTAATAATAAAAAAATCAACTAAATAAATTTCATTATACTTAATATTATTAAAAATTTAATCATAAGTAGTCTATTTTAAATTTATAATTATTTTTCAGCCCCAAAAAAAATTAAAATTTCAATTTTCACCCCAAAATAGTGTTTTCCGTTACTTGCTAACAGACATGTAACGGTAGGGACCAAAAGTGTTTAAAATTGAAACTTGGAGGTGAACTTTGTTCACTTTGGAACAAGGGGGACCAAAAGTGAAATTGGGCCAAACATGAGAGACCAATAATGTAAAATCCCTCTTTTGATAAATGTAATGTATATATTTACAAATAAATAAATAAAATCAATTTAAAACATCCATATAAAAATAAATTAAAAAAACCTGGTGAACAGAGGTTTTATCTATCCTACACCCGGTGAAGGTTACACATACCAATGTGGGTATGTGTGTGTGTTTGTGTGTATATGAATGGTAAAGATCTACCCGGTGTATTTCACCGGGTGTAAGATCTCAAAATCCGTGAACAGATATCCAAATGCGACCCGGTTAACTGTAGGTATAGTTCGAATATATTCTGTATCCATCAACGGTCAATCATGGGGAAGATAAGCTGCCAGTCTGCCACATTACTCCGACAACTGATATTCCCGGAGCAAATGTGGAATATCAACCGTCCTGAAGTTAATGAACTGCCGTTCAAAAGCAATTCCGATGGTCGCCTATATACACACACACACATATATTTATATTTATATATAAAAATACCGTCAACCCTGGTTAAGCAACTGTGTGCGTCTTCAGTCTTCACTATGGAATCGACAAACGCAATTGAAATTGGTACGTCGGGGATCAACACCGCCGGAGAAGACAATGCATCACCGCCGCCAGAAACAGAGGGAATCAGCCGCCTTGTCGAGAAACTGAAAGGTGTCGGTTTATCGACAACCACCGCGGCGCCGGAGGTGAAGAAACCAAAGCCGAAGGTTTCACTTTCACCACAGCACGAAGAAATCAGACGAAGCTTCCCTATCTACAAGCTGAAGAACGAACTCGTTCAGGCCGTCCACGACAACCAGGTCCTGGTCGTCATCGGAGAAACCGGTTCTGGCAAAACCACCCAGTTAACTCAGTACCTCGCCGACACCGGTAAATACACCACCGACGGCAAAAAAATAGGTTGCACTCAGCCTCGCAGGGTGGCGGCAATCTCCGTCGCCAAAAGAGTCGCCGAAGAATTCGGCTCTCCGTTAGGACAAGAAGTCGGCTACACCATCCGTTTCGAAGATCGAACTTCTCCGAAAACCATTATCAAGTACATGACTGATGGAATGCTTCTGAGAGAAATTATCACCGACGAATATTTATCTCAGTACTCTGTAATAATTCTTGACGAAGCTCACGAGAGAACACTCAGCACCGATATCCTCTTCGGATTGCTCAAGCCCCTTCTCAAACGCAGACCGGATCTTCGTCTGATCGTGACTTCCGCAACTTTGGATGCAGAGAAATTTTCCGAGTATTTCTTCAATTGCAGCGTATTCCGAATTCCCGGAAAAATATTCCCCGTCGAAGTAATCTACATTGAGCCGCCGGAAAGACGTGGATTTGTCAATATGTCAATTGACGTTGTACTGCAGATTCACACGTCCGAGCCGGAAGGTGGCGACATACTCGTGTTCTTGACCGGTCAAGATGAGATTGATTCCGCGTGCAATTCTCTCCACGAGAGGATGGAGAAAATTTTACGAGGGAAAAATAGAAACAATTGTGGCCGAGAGCTGATAATTCTACCGGTTTATAGTACTCTGCCTATTGAAATCCAATCGAGGATTTTCGAACCGACACCTCCCGGAAAAAGGAAAGTGGTTTTCGCCACGAATATTGCGGAAGCTTCTTTGACAATCGATGGCATATTCTACGTCGTCGATTCGGGTTATGCGAAGCAAAATGTGTACAACCCTAACAAGGTTCTTGATTCTCTGGTGACGGCTCGTATATCGCAGGCTTCTGCTAAGCAGAGGCAAGGTCGAGCTGGTCGCACAGGGCCTGGAAAGTGCTACCGTCTCTACACGGAGAGCACTTTCCTCAATGAAATGGCCCCCACCACGGCCCCCGAGATACTCAGGATCAATCTTAGCACGACGGTTCTTAATTTGAAATCGATGGGTATTGACGATCTATTCTCGTTTGATTTCATGGACCCGCCTTCTCGGAAGGCACTAGCTTCCGCAGTCGAAGAGCTACACAAATTAGGAGCTCTCGACGAAAATGGGGTCATCACAAATTTGGGTCGGAAAATTGGCGAATTCCCGCTCGATCCTCCGTTGTCGAAGATGCTTCTCACAAGCGTGGATCTAGGTTGTAGTGACGAGATTCTTACCGTTACCGCAATGATTCAGGCAGGGAACATCTTCTACCGGCCGAGGGATAAACAAGACGAGGCGGACAAGAAAAGGGCAAAGTTCGTACAACCTAGTGGGGACCACCTGACGCAGCTCTTTGTCTACGAGGCGTGGAAAAAGGCGGGAAACTGTTTCTCCGGCCAGTGGTGCTACGACAACTTCGTTCAGTCTCAGTCGATGAGGAGGGCGCACGACGTGAGGAAACAGCTTGTTTCGATTATGGAGAGACAAAATTTGAATGTTGTGAGTTGTGGTAAGAATGTTACGAAAGTCCAGAGAGCTATAGCCGCTGGTTTATTTGCCAACGCCGCGCGAAAGGATCGACTCGGAAGAGGGTACAGAAGAGTGGCTGACAACCAGAGTGTTTATATACATCCGAGCAGCACTCTGTTCTCGAGTAAGCGTCAGCCCGAATGGGTTATCTACAACGAACTGGTGATGACGTCGAAGGCTTTCATGCGTGATGTCACTGCCGTAGATTCCAACTGGCTTCCCAAATCAGTGTCCTCTACGATAAAATCAGCAAGATCCAGAAACAAGTTCGTGCACAATCGACATCACTGATCTTGTAGTCGAATAGTCTTTTCTATTGGGAGTTATTGGTTTTGTGCTATGTGCCTGTTTTAATGTTTTAAAAACTGGATCGGACGTTCACCTGAACAAGTTACTGGATTATGGTTGGACCGATCAACCGGTTTTTTCATTTTTATTTTATAATATATAATTATTTATATTTTATTTTTGTAGTAAATAAATCATTTTTTTTTCGAATACATTAACTCATTACTCATTTCCAATTGAAATGTAAATCTAACCAACTTTCTTTTACACCCATATCACACCGAACCATTTCAAATATTATAGAAATTATGGCTAATTACGGCCACCCCCTAGGGTATGGCCGAGATACGAAAAGACCTCTCTTGTTTGGGTAATTACAACCCTACTTCTAAATATTTTTACATATTATTTATGTAATTTGGTTATTTACCGAACCAAATCGTATATTTAGTTCGGTAAACGGTATGAAATGTTGGCGTACCGAAATTTCAGTTCGGTTTTTACCGAATTAACATCCCTAAATTCACCTCTGGAAGAGTCTTTTCGTAAGATAATTAATACATAGTTGAGGGGTGGCTGTAATTAGTCAAACATGAGGGGTTTTGGTAATTTGACCATAACTCAAGGGTGGTCGTAATTTGCCCTAGAAGTTATAATAAAAAATAAAATGTCTTCCAATTTCAAACTTTTTTGTTTTGAATTATTTTTTTTTTGTTATCAAATGGGCAGTAAAAATACATCGCCCGACTTTCACTCCGGTTACGATATTCCGGTTCAACCGGTCAAACAAGACCGGGCAAAGCAACAGTTTGCTGTTTAACCGACAGGTCCAGTCCGGGTTTCAAAACACTGACCTGTTTCGTTGTAATTTCTTGGATATATAATCAAATGGATTGATTTATTTGTCCGAAAATGGAAACTGAAAGATTATTCGATCCTATTTCAATTTATGCAGGTGTTTTTAACACACAGAAATCTAGTTCATGAATCTACCATAGTAGGAACAGAGTATGAAGCTAAACCCATCAACCAACTACATAGTTTATTCTCCACGGATTAACTTTTTTATTCATTTATTTCTGGACACTAATTATTTCCAACAATTTCGTAAAATTCTTCGACGAACTCCCCTCCAATCCAACTGCTCCCGCAGCTTTCTCCTTCAACCGACAAACATTCTCCCTAATCGCCTCTCCCGCCTCACCCGTCATCACACAACGCAGCGCCTCAACTGTCGAAGTTTTATCGAACACCCCTCCTTCAACTCTCACTCCAATTTTCCAGGTGTCCTCCACCATTCTGCTATTTACCTTCTGGTCCCCGAAAAACGGCCTGCAGATCAACGGCACCCCCCTGGAAACACTTTCCAGGACCGAATTCCACCCGCAGTGTGTCACAAACACCCCCACACTACCATGCTCGAGAACCCGCGCCTGTGGGGCCCACGAGACCATCTTCCCATATTCGCCTGTTCGCTCGATAAATCCATCAGGCAATAATTTCTTCGCCTGGTTAGTTAAAGACCATAGAAATGGGAATTTACAGGTTTCCAGGGCTTCCGCCAGTGCCGCCAGTTCGTTTTCAGGCGGTGTAATTACTGTACCGAAGCTGATGTAGACAACTGATTTGGGCCTGGTTTGTGTTTCCAGCCATGAAAGGCATCCTGTTTTGTCATTATCGGGGCTCGGTGAGGCGGTGGTGGTCGAGAGAAGCGAGGGACCCACGTTGAGAAAATGTTGGAATTTGGATTTCAGGTCTTTTGTGATCAAGGGGTCGATTTCTTCGAAGGAATTTAAGACAACGGCGGTTGATCTCGGGAGATTTTGGACCATGTTGTTGATTGTTATTGCAAGTGGCGTTGGATTTTGGTCCAGGAAAATTTCTGGCGGGAGATCGGTGAAGTGTACCTTTGACAATCCTGGGATAAATGTCAACGTTTGTTCTTGATCTGCTTTTTCTGCAATGATTTTTTTTTTAAATATAGTTATAAAAAAGAAAATGAACAATAAAAAATAAAATAAAGAGTATAGAGCACTAGAAAATATAGTACAAGTAATTAAAGATTATATGGGCAAATTGCATATCACCCCCTATAAAAAAAATTTCGCACTTTAACCACCCCATCAATTTTTTTATAAGTGAATGTCCTTTCAAAATTTTATTTTTGCTGCACATTGCCTCATACTAAAATTATAATGGATTATTTTTATCGGAATTGAGTATTTTTGTTTCAGCCCCTTAATAACACTACATCTTTGCACGCTGCTCTTTTAAAATGTTATTTTTGTTTTACAATATTGGTTTATGGGGCAAAGTGCAACCAAAATAATATTTCGAGGGGAGTATTTTTTTTTAAATTTTTAGGGGGGAAAGTGCAAAAATAGAAAAAATATAGGGGTGATGTGCATTTTTCCAGATTACATCAATAATTATTAATTAGTGGAATTTTGTTTTTTTAAATGCGTTGTAAAGAGGCTTAACATCGTATAAATAATATCACAACTCTTTGGAGCAGAATAATTTTTTTTATGAAGAAATATTAATTATCAACACTATAATATAATTAGCAAAGCCAAATTACCTTTTAACCCTTCAACTGCTTTCAAAATTTCGTCAGTGTAAGCATGGGCAGAGAGGGAACAAGAAGCAGCAGTCCAAAAGGGTACCCATGGCACTCCTCTTTTTTCAGCCAAATCGCATGCAAACCACAAAAACGCATCGGTTATCAAGCAGCTGATTTTCAGACCAGCGTCGACTTCTGCCACTTCAATGGCGTTTTCGAAATTACCGGGCGAGGCTTTGATGAACAACCCAACGGCCTCGAAGTGGGTCCCACGGAAAACCTCGCCCTCGGGGGTCCCATCGAACACATCGTACGCCTTTATGTTCTTATTAGCGTCCGATTCGCTCTCTGGAAAAATCGTGCTATTAGAAATCGCGCTGTTGAAGAAAGAAAATCTAGTGCCCGGTGGAGAGGCTGCAGCCAGCCTCTCCACCAGGGCGAGTAGAGGGGCGGCGTGTGTGCCGAAAGGGAATGCTAGTACACCAATGTGTAAGTGAATACCCATTCTCTTGATTATGTGTATTAAAAATAAATCAAGAAATCAAGAAGTATTTGAGGAAATAAATAAATGATGGTGTAGAGAAATTGTGGAAAATTGTTGGGTATTTAATTAGACTGTGATCAATGTGTGTGGGTGAAATAGTGCCACTTACTAGGAAGCTCCGAGCTTGTGACTTGTGTTACCTACTTACCTTTCAAATTAATGTTCTTGTTCAATTTATTTAAATTAAATTAATTGGGCTTTGTTTGATACTTGCTATCTCTTATAATTTGCCTGGTCGATCCGTAAATATTATGCTATCGTGATTTATCTTGCCTTCTAGATATGTTTTTTTATCCGAACTTTCAAAGTCCAATAAAGTAATTGGGTCATATTAAATTATTTAATCTTGGCTAATCTTTTATTGACTAACTAACGTGCCCTAACAGGATAAATTTAAGATAAATTTAAGATAAATTTATCAGGTAGCAAGCCACTTTATCCCATATAAGAAGAATATATACTATCAAATTTTGTTCTCCCAAACAAACCACACGTGTGAACCAACTTTCAATCCTCAACCCCCAAATTCTAACCAACCTTCTCCAACTAACCTCTCCCACAACAAAATTTGGACCCAATAATTTTATTTGATTTGGCAGCATTAATAAATCGAAATTAATTTGTTAAATCAAATTTTGCTTTTTATTTTTTAAATGAATAATTTGTTCTTAACAGTAAGTTATAAACTTTTTTCATTATTATTTGGAGACGTGTTTTAATATGGAGTTACTTTTATCTTGAAATAAATTTTTAGTTATTTGTTTGAAGTAGTTCAAAACAAATGATTCTATTTCACCGAACATGCGTGTTCTGATGTAGCAGATTTTTTTTTTCTCTCTCTAAGTTTCGTGTTTCTTCACGAACCAACACCAATAGTCTATAAGTACGAATAGAATCGAGCAAAATTTTACATATGTATTAATTAGACGTTACACATTCTTCATTCTTACTTTCTGTCGAAGTTATGTCCGTTAATTTTTCAAGTTCGGTGTGGGTTTCAGTATTTTCGGCAAACAAATTAAGTATTTTGCAGACTGTTAATAATACATTCCTCTTTTACAAATTCCTTATTAATCTAGAAATATTATTATTATTATTTTTTTTTTTTATGAGTATATTCAAATCAATTACAAGGGAAAGTAGGGGAGGGGGGGACTCGAACCCTAGACCTTTACCCATAACCTATTGGTAAAGGCAATGTACCAACTCTCCTAATGAGGGTTGGTAATCTAGAAATATTCTTAGTCTATTAAAATAAGGGGTTTTTGTGCATAAATTCCCAACCAAGCATCTTTATTATTCTAGGTTTATGCGCTATATCTCTTTCACCAATAAGCCGATCCCTTTAATATTTATTATAAATAAAGGAAACATTCATGTATATGTCAATATTACCCTCAACCATTTATATCCAATTCTTAATTGTAACCTCAATTTAATCAATTTTGTCCACAAAAACCCAATTTTGACCGCAAAAATTCAATTTTGACTTTTTTATGGAGCATACTTTAATATGCTCAAATTTCATCATTAACTTAATTTAATCTCAATTTGACTCCAAATTTCACAAATTATTCAATTTTGACCCAAAACGTTTTTTTTTCAAAAAAAAAATTCAAAAACTTTTTTTTCCCGCCGGATTTCGGCGTTGACTTTTCAAAAAAATATTTTTTTTTGTTTTTTTTTTCTTTCAGATTTTTTCGCCGGTCAACGCCGGAATCCGGCGGGAAAAAAAAGTTTTTGAAAAAAAAGTTTTGGGTCAAAATTGAATAATTTGTGAAATTTGGGGTCAAATGGAGGTTAAATAAAGTTAATGATGAAATTAGAGCATATTAAAGTATGAGGGGTTATTTTAGTCATTTACAAAAATCTGGACCATGTGTGGACTTATTGGTAAATGAGTTTTTTGTCTGAATCTTTTTATGAATAAGTACTCATTAATTGGCTAATTTGTAATGACCCCTTAAAATAATATCTAAAAATAGTATGTTTTGTTATTCATACGTTCAAAACCAAATCTCGAAATAGTGTTGAAGCAAAATTTCTAAGTTCTCTTAGCAATTTCAATAAAATGATTTTTTTTTATTTAGTGCATAAATGAATATGGTGAGTATATAAGGCTCATATGTAAACCAAATCTATTCATAATTTTGATTCTCGAGAGAAAGTAAACCACCATAGAAAAGTTGAGTTATTTGCACAAAATCCATATGTAAACTGTAATGGTCAAGGAAAACTCCATATTAAAACAATTAGCAATTAAACCCTTATTGTTGCATTTTATTTATTCATTGTCCCCTAGTGAAAATAAATATGTTGACTAAAAGGAAGTGACTATACTACCCTTCAATTAATAACATAAAATTAGAATTAATATATAATAGAGGCCAAATTGCAATTTTACTAAACTTCTAAAACTTAAATTAGAGGACTGAATTGTAATTTTCCCAAACATAAGTTAATCCAAAACTTTGGATCAAATTGAAAATTTTAAAATTTCTTAAATAAAGAAAAAAATACATTTTTTTATGGAAAAAAAAGGAAAAAGAAAAGAAATGAGAGAAAATTGCGTCTTCCAAAATTCTTCTTCCCCATTGAAATCACCACCACCACCAAACTCACAACACCACCTCCGACAATCACATCTTCACGTCGCCGCCCCTTCCTTCAACCATCCGCCTCCTCCGCTCTTCTTGTCCGCTCCACAGCCAACTTCTCCTAGCCAGTTTCACACCAGCCAAATTCTTCTTTTCCAAATTCTAGAATCTTAACAAGCCTAACAAAATTACTAAACTCCAGGCAAAGCTCTAATTGCCACCACCGCCAAAGCCCTAATCGCCGTCATCATCGCTGAAGACGATAAAAAGCAGAAAAACAACATGGAGGTTTGGATCCAGAGACATCAGGGACCTTGCATAATGGTGGACGACTATCGGTAGATGCTGGAGAAGACTTGTTTTTTTCGTGGATTTTTTCTTTGAAAAACTCTTTTTTGATGAGGGCAGATATTTTCTTGGATTTTCACGGATTCTTGATGGGTTTTACTGAAGAATAATTAGCTTAAATCTTAGCTCCTAACCGAACCGAATTTCGTCGGAAAAAAATATTGGAGTGGTAGGTCGAAGCGGAGGTTGATGATATGGAGGGAGGTGAGGCCGGATAAAGTGTTCACCGGAAGGAGAGTGGCTGTCAGTTATGTTCAGTGTATTTTTGAAAAATTGCAAATCAGGGAAAGTCCCTGACTTAAGGAGGAAGAGGGCTTTTCTGAAACTTCAAGGACTGAAATGAAAAAAATTAAAAACTTTATTTGGGGCTTACTTTTGAAATTTATAATCTATAGGGTATTTGGGTCTTTTCACCGTCAAAAAATCTAACCCCAGTCGCATGTTTGGCGAGTGTATCACACGACCAGCTCGTAAGGGCCTTAATGTCGTTGATTATGTAACATAGGGGGGTATGTGCTAATTGTTTTAACACATGGACTTTTTTAGCTATTAGACAGTAAACAGGGGTGCCGGGTGCTAAAACCTCTAGAAAAGTTAGAGAAAGAAAACTACCTTAGAGGAGTGATCATCTTCATAGTTATGTTGTATGCGAATTCTATGGAAATCTACATTTGTTCTTTGATCAATAAAGTTGTTCTATCGTTCATTGTGTTTATAGTTCGAGTTCCGTGACGATCAATTGTACACACACACAGTCTTTTTCACACAAAAAAAAAACTTGTATCCAGTACACACACATATAGTTCAGTGTGAATTACTTTCAACTTCTCATTTTAAATGAACTCAAATTACTTTATTATATTATACCTCTTACCTTCTTTTTTAGAGTTTAGGGTTTTCGGGTTTTGCCACCATCGGGAACATGGCGGCAGTACGACGAGCCCCCGGAAGTCCGGAACTCCAATTTCCAGTTAGTTGACAAAGTTTTATGTCTTGTCATTGGTTTTCTGCCTTCAGCTGTCAACTACGGCGCGCCACGTCGGTGTTCTAATTAGTCGACTGAACTATTAAGCGCCTAACTATAAAGCGCCCAAGTTCATAAGATTATTCGATTCGAAAAGTTTCTAACATTTTGGAAATCACATAAGTTCTAAATTTTTGTGAATGAAACGAATCAGGGCAAAGAGAGAATAAAGCTTTTTGTTAATGATGAATAGCGAAGGGGAAAAATATATAGGCTTTAATTTTGTGGAAGTACAGCTAAAAATATGATTAATTTTGCACTACAATTGTATATATATATATATATATATATATATATATATATATATATATATATATATATATATATATATATATATATATATATATATATATATATACAACCATATAGGTGCACTGGGTAAACCTACACTCTCGTATAATTGCTTGTAAAATTATACAAGAAACGCAAATCATACTAGGCTAACCATGTGTGACAAGCTCCACCTAACGACCTTTGGCAAGGGATTCGAACCTGGGTCAATTGACACAAACTCACTTGTATTTTTATGAATTACGATCAGATCAAAACTCGAAAAAAATCCATTTATTGTATATATACTTTTAACTCCAATCCAAAGCAAAAATGGAAAAATTGAAAATCAGAAGAAAAATATCGTTCCAAAATTGGAACTTTGCAGAGCGAAACCGATGAAACTTGAAAATCTCGTTCCAACTTTCACGATTTCACCCCTAACCACAAATCTAGAAAAAAATGAATTATCTTGTGTATTGCGAACGAAACCATCTCGATTCATCATTAGCATTCAGATTACTATATGAAATGATGTATATACTGTTCGTTATGCCACGATTCAAGAAAAAAAATCGAAAGTATTATTAATCAAAGAGCTGAAAAAGAATACTGAGTACTTAAATTGGCATAATACATATAATAAATACTCATAGTTCAACTTTTATTTATACATATATGGATTAAAAATTTCATTCCAAAAAAAAAAAAAAAAAAAAAAACCCCAAAGCTCCATACCATAAAAACAATATAATATTTTCATATTATATATATGTGTACATATATATATGTAATAAAAATAAATATTAATAAGGCCTCTCTCCAATGAAATTTCCAGGTGGATCATAGTTACAAATCATGAAAACACCTCTACCGCCATTACAGACAACTCTCGAGCACCCAATCCTCCTCGTACCTCTCCACACAATCTGCGTGTAGTGCCCGCACTCCTGCCTGTACGCGCACGTGTTCGACCAGTAGTTGTACCCCCGCCGCTCCGACACCCACGCCGCCGCCGCCTGCGCCGGCGTCCACCCGCCGCCGCTCCCCCAGAATATGTTCTCCCCGTACGGCCCGTTCGAGTGCTGCAGCGCGCAGTCGCCCCGCCGCTGCCCGGCGTACGCGGCCGCGTAGGCGGCCACTCGCTGGTCCCACACCAGCGGCGGCAGCTTCAGCGCCGCCCGCGCCGTGTTCTGCGCGCCCAGGAACTGCTGCACGTAGTTCTGCGGCGGCGGAGGCAGCTTCGGGGCGGCATCGGCGGCTGATACGAGGAGGAGGAGGAGTATTAAGTGCATTGAATATTTTTGTTCATGGAATTTTTTTGTTTTAAACTTTTATTTTTGATAAGTAGTTAGCAAATATTTATTATGGTAAATATATTTATTGGATGAGAGAATAAAGTAGTTGAAAAAAATAAGGAGTTTTTAAAGTGTCAAACTATGGGGTGGCAACCATGTTCGATAATGATTACCACATCTTGTAATTAAGGTGTCAAAATATTCTGCCTGAGCAATAAAATAAATTAGCTTATTTATTTATTAATATTATCACAATTTGTTTTGTATTATTATGCAAAGAGAATTCTTCATTTAAATGTTGTAATAGAATATTGAGTGTTGACTATTTGTGTACGATGCGAAGTCAAAATTATATTTTTGAGAAAAAATGAATTATAATTGATGAGTGATCATGGAAAAGATATATAATCTTAATTGCTAGGTTCAAATTTATAAGGGTAAATACTAAATAGCACTTAATTCCTATGTGGTTACAAGCTTTTGCAGATAACTCATTTGTGCTCGTAATATCAGTACATAACCCCCTTCTGGTTTATGGGGTAACTTTCGTTAGTTCTTTCGTCAAATTTAACTGTGTATGTCATACTTCAAGGGGATCATTTGCAAAAGTAAAAGAGAAAAGGAAAGCAAAGGGGGTCATTTGCAATAAAAATACTTTGACTTTTGACACAGACTGTTAAATTTGATAGAAAAACTAACGGAAACTACCCCAACAATCACAAGGGGTTATGTTATGATATTACAGGGAGAAAAAAATCATCTGCAAAAGCTTATAATCACATGAGAATTAAGTGATATTTACCCAATTTATAATGAGTTTGGCAGGTATGGACTAATGATCGCAAGGATGGATTCATTTGACCAACAAATTATCCTCTTAATGAAGTTTCGTACTACTCCATCAAATTTAGTTTTAGTTATATTTCTATTTTATAAGTCAAATTAAGATGTTCAGTCTCAAAGTAAGATGTTCAGTCTGAAAATTCAATTTTATCATCAAATTCCTATTTCTATTAAATTTCCTAACTTTGCCCCTCAATGGATACTCATACTCATAACAGATTTGGATGGTGAATAGATGGGAGTAGGCCGTAGGGGTGTAAATGAGCTGAGCGGCTCATGAGCTCGATGAGCAGCATGAAAAAAGCTCGAGCTCTAGCTCACGAGCCTTCTGACAAACTCGAGCTTGAGCTTGTGAGCCGGCTCGCAAGCTTTATATATATATAAATGAGCTGAGCGAGCTCGACAGGCTCGACTTGAGCTTGAGCCCGAGTTCAAGCTCATTAAATGAAAGCTTGATGAGCTTGAGCTCGAGCTCACCAAATTTGACTCGAACTCGACTCGTTTACACTCGTATAAGATGGGAGTGAGTTTTGACTTTTATGTAAAATGAAACATGAAAGAATTCCTTGTTTTTTTTTTTTCCTTTATTGACATTTTGGCCCCAAGAAATAGTCGTCCATTTATTTAGAAGTTAGATATTTTTTGGTTTAGACATCCAAAATATTCGGAGGTGATTGAATTAGTGGACTCGGAAAAAATATGTCATGACTCATGACCTCTCAAAGTTCAAATTATCGCCTAAACTAGCGGAACATGATTACCAACAACTCTCCATCTCTGTTTCTTACAAAGTTTTTTTTGCAAAAAGTACCCCTGTAAAATCTTGAACTGTAGAAAAAGCCCCTTTATTAAAAATATGACTGGAACCCCCAACAACCTTTTTTAATTAACACACTCGACTCATTTACAAATTAGCCTTTGACCATACGTGAAAAGACAAAAATACCCCCGGGTTCTTTTGCTATTAAATAAAAAAATATTAAATATAAATAAATCAATTAAAAAGAAAAGAAGAAAAAAATTTAAAAAGCATCATTTTCATCTTCTTCCTCTCCAACCTCCACCAAAACATTCCAAGATTCTAACAACTCCGACCACCACCCAATTTTGTGACGTATTTCTGTTAAATCTTATTTTCTCTTCTTCATTCTTCATCTTCGTCCACAACCCACTCTTGTCAAAAACTCCGAAGAAACCATGGCCACCGAAAACAACCGCAGTGGTTTTGTGCAAACATCTTCGCCGGAAAACCATGGCCGTCATCTTCAATCTGCAACGGTGGATTTTGAGCAATCGTGAATTGAAAGCCTAGGTTAAGGATTGGGGATTTCAATATAATTAAGTTCAATTAACTTTCAATTGGAAATTCTAAATTGAAACGGATGAGGTGGTGGTGGTGGCGCGGATAAAGAAGCCGCCGGAAAAGATGGCTGTAAGACAAAGTGAGAAATGCATTGAGTGTTTGTCTGCCATGGTGTGTGGTTTGGGTTTTTAAATAAATTATAAATATTACAATTGGATCCCTAATATTTAAACTATTTACATTTAAAAGTTGAATTATTAATGAAAAAATCCCAATCATCAGTCGCACAGACGGCAAGTGAAACACACGAACTCGACCTAGGGGTGGAAGTGTCTTTGACTAAAATTCGTAGGGGTATTCTAGTCATATTTTTTAACACAATAACTTTTTCTACAATTCAAGATTTTGCAGGGGTATTTTTTGCAAAAAAAATCTGTTTTACATTCAAATGAAGATGGGCTAAATTTCACTTTGCACCTATAAAATGTAGTATTTTGGCACTTCGCATCCTTAAAAAACTAATAGCATTTTGCGCCCTTAAAATGCAATGGATCATTCAAAATGCATCATGAATTGAATTGAATATTTAAAGCTTAAAAGACAATTTCATATTTTGCTGGTTTTTTTCTTTGCAAAGTTAAAAATTAAATTGTAATTTTCTTATACCTTCAACCTAATAGCGAGCGTAGAGAGAGAAAACAAAAAACAAATATCACACTAAATTATTAAAAAAAACTATATTTTCTTACGAACAAAAAATACAATATTTTTCTTTCGCTAAATTATTCAGTTTAGCTTGATAAATCTTTTATTGTAATTAATTGGTGAAAATATTTAGTATGGATCTTTGGAAAAAAATATAATGTTCAACCAACTTGATAACAAAATAGTTAAAAGGGTTTTTTTCAAAAACACTGTTGTATGTTAGTTTTTCCTCTGTAGGTTCTACAGAATTGATGAATATATATAAAAAAAAAAAGGTAAATTACAACGACCTCCTGAGGTATGGTCAATTCACGAAAAATATCTCTTGTTTGGATAATTATATCTACTCCTTCAACTATGTTTTTTTCTTAGTACACCTCCGCCTTTATTGTGTCAATTTCAATATAATCATCTAAATTTCGTGGAATGTGCTATAATTTGTACTCGTTTTGTGTAACAATACAGTTTCTGATGCATCACAATCTGATATATACAAGCCAAAAAAACACATATTATGATCATCTTGCTTCAAAACGTGGAGTTCGAGTGGGATAAAACGGTTACAAAGTGATAATATTCCATATAATCTCAAAGATTCCACTAAATTTGAAACAACAAGGGTGGACGTGTAAGAAGATTTATAGTTGAGGGGGTGGTTGTAATTACCCGAACAGGATGGGGTCTTCGTAATTTGACATACCTCAGGGGTGGTTGTAATTTACCCTAAAAAAATGATTTGACATTCAGCATCTTAAAAAAATACCATCAAAAATATTAAATTACCTTCACTAGCTTCAAAAAATCATTTGTATGCATGATTTATCGTGTTTTGAGAGTGTAAAGTGCTATTAATTTTTTTCAAGGATGCAAAGTGCCAAAAAACTATATTTCAAGGATGCAAAGTGAAATTAAGCCAATAAAGATGTGAGAATGTGGAAAAAAAAAATCCTATGCTATTTCTAATTTCTAATTTCATGTTAATAATAATAAAAAAAAAAAATAGAAATAACACTATGGTGCCTCAGCTCTTGATTTCTTCATCTTCTTCTTTCCAATTTTTTTTAAATATCTTCACCTTCAGAGCTCAACGATTTTCATAGCAACTGGGACGGGGGAGAACTCATGACCGGCGGCGGAGGAGGAATATGCTGTAGTGGTCGCAGTTTGGTGTCCGCCGGTGGAGGGATGAAAAGGGGGGCTGTAGTTTCAAAGAAGGGGAGGTGGAGCTCCGGCGGTGTAGTCTGGTGACTCTAGTCTTGGTGGTTGGTCGGTGGTGGTGGGGAAGAAGATGACTCACTCTTCTTCTTCATTTTTTTTTTTGTTTTCTTTTAAGTAGTTATTTATTTTTAATTGATTTTGTTTTTCATTTTATTTGTTTAAATTTGAAATACTATTAAAATTTATCAAGGAATAATAAAAACATTTATAACATAAAATAAGAAATATCATAGTATTTATAAAAATTAGGGAAAATCGATTTTATTGTATAAACAACTGACAAAATATATATTTTTAAAATTACAATATATGTTTAATGGGCAAATTACAACCATCCCTGAAGTATGGTCAAATTATAAATTTTTTTACACGTCCACCATTGCGGTTTCAAATTTAGTGGAATCTTCGAGATTATATAGAATATTATACTTTTGTACCCGTTTATCTCATTCGAACTCCACATTTTGAAGTAAGATGATCATAATATGTGTTTTTTTGGCTTTTATATATTAGATTGTGGTGCATTAGAAACTGTATTTTTACACAAAACAAGTGCAAAATAGAGCACATTCCACGAAATCTAGATGATTGTATTGAATTTGACACCATAAAGGTGTAGGTGTAAAAAAAAATCGTAGTTGAGGGGTAAATGTAATTATCCAAACAAGAGGGGTTTTTTCATAAATTGACCATACCTCAGGGGTGGTTTTAATTTACCCATAAATATAAAGGTGTAGGTGTAAAAAAAATCGTAGTTGAGGGGTAAATGTAATTATCCAAACAAGAGGGGTTTTTTCATAAATTGACCATACCTCAGGGGTGGTTTTAATTTACCCATAAATATAAGATAAAAAATAAATATTTTTTTGTAAATTAATTTATAATGTACTAATTGCTAAAATCCTCATAGGGTATTTATTTATTTCATATTTTTAATAGATTTATTCGGATTTATTTTCGTTGGACGAAATTGTAAGCAAAAAGGTGGGTAATGTGGCTAAATGAATAATATAAGTAAAAATGGGGTTGAGGTGCATTGTTGCGTGCCACACACGTGACTTTTTCCATCCAACTTAACGGAAATTGAAACGGACGAAAAGTGTAAAAAAAACTGATTATTTGAGGACCAATTTCGTGGCATAAAAAAAATGTAAGGACCAAAATTGAAAAAACATGTATAATATAGGAGCCAAAGTTGTAATTATCCCTAACTATATTCATAAAACACTTGACAGAATATTAATATAGTCTCAATTTACAGGTAGAATTCGACATCGAATGCGATCTTCGCCCTTTTTCAATTTGAATTTTGCACAACTTGGAATATCAATTTTGTGGTCCTATAAACTAATTATCTATTCCAACTTGAATCAGGTAGATTAAATATTGAGTGACTGGGATTAAATATTTTTATAACATCCTTGAGAGCTTTACATAAACAAGACATTACTACTATTTAGTATTTACTAATTACTACCATAAAAGTTCCCCCACTTTTGTTACCTACCATCTATCTTTTGAAGTTTCTTCTTTTGGCCCAACAACATAAGCCTAGTTATAGGATCCACCTATGATTGGCCTAAAAGAAATACAATCATTGAGGTTAAATTGTATAGTGAAACAATTACCGATAGGCCATTTTCGTTTATGTTTTCGTTTTCAAGGAATTCATAATTTCGTCACGATTTTGCATTTATATATTGCCCAATCATATCTAGAAGTGTAACGAACTCGAGGTAGACTCGTCTTCAGTGAGCTCGAATTCGAAAAAGAAACTACAAGTTTAATTTTGAGTATGTTTCGAGTTCATTGACCTTTGTTTCCTCGAGCTCGAATGTTCATATTCAGACTCTTGAGCTTTTTTTTTTTTTTTTTTGTATTTTTATCGTGAAAATGGGATTTTCACGGGCCAAATATTCAAGATCAATAGAAAGTTCGATTCATTTACACCTCTACATTCAACTAGAGCTATGTAGTGTTTAATTAATTATAGGAAAAATTACATTTTTCGTCCTCAAACTTTATTCGTTTTTTCGATATTATCCCTAAACATTTCCGAGTTAGAATAGTAGTCCCTAATGATGCTATATTTTAACAAAAATGATCCGCCGTTTAGTTTTTCAGTTAAGTTAACGGAAACAGCATGTGTCACTCACGTGACGTTTATTTCTCACAGAATAAGAAAAGAAAGGGCTTTTAATAAGGTGCAATGCAGCTTGTTAAAATATAAATACAAGAAAAAATGGCTCATCAACAAAAATTACCAACATTTTTCTCTTCACAAACCTTATGTGCTACATCAAGACTGCCACGCCCGCCTGTGACACTTGCAGCAAACCTTCATCTCCATCTCGCCATGTTTCTAACTTTGTAAATCCTGCTCATGAAAATGAAACTTCGAAAGCTAAAAAGAAAAGTGCTCAAATAATAATGGGTTTTTGCCATCCTCCATTTCTTGGTAGAACCCCTTGTTCGGTTCCACACGAAATTTATTACATGTTCGCGCACCCACACCGATGAAACTAAAGGCATACGAAGGTAAATGAATATATATTATTGCACCATTAGTTGTTTAATTTAATGTTTAAGACATCATGTGTGTTTACATTTTTGAAAATGTTAATGTGTTTAGTGAAAGAATTTTAGAGGTTTACTGATTTTGTGTGAGGGTCGTTGCTCTCCTTTGTAATTGGTTCTCAATTATGTAATTCTCGTCAATAACAAGTAGTTGTGGTACTGGTGAGTGAAAAGAAAAGAAAAGAAAGAATAAAAAGTTGTGCGGGAAGGGTTAATTCTAGTGTTGTTTCTCTTTCTAAAGTCTATTTTTGTAGACTTTGATGTCTTTTATAGAGCTAATTGCAAATACCACCCCTGTGTTATCTCGAATTGGCAAATACCCCCCTGTAAAAAAAAAACTCACCAACACCCCCTTGTGTTAACAAAGTCATGGCATCGACACCCCTGGAGGCAAATCGTGTCATTCACTCGCGGGTTGTGCGATTTTTAATGGTATTTTAGGGTGAAATGTCATAAATACCCCTTTATAAAATAAAAAATAATTTTGTTGGTTAAATTATGAATAACGTAAATTTATTGGACCAAATTGTAATTTCCAAAATTGCAAAATAAAATAAAAAGAGAAGACAGAAGAACGGTCTTCTTCCCCGTTCCCCACCCCCAAACCCCAACAAGAGAAAGAGAAGAAGGTCAGCACCACCACACCTCATCTTCTACAATCTCCAAATCAAACCCGAATCCGTACAACCCGAGGCTAACCCAGTCCCAATTACAGCAATGGCCTATCTAACATGTCCAAGCAATTTCTCTCGACGACGGCGGCGACATTGATAACGGTCAAACCTGCTAGGTCCAAAAATTGCGTCTCTTTGTTCTTTTCTCTTCTCTTGCTCTTCCTTATCGTCACCACCGCCGTCAAAATAGGAGATTGGGGAAGGTTTATTGGTAGAAACTAAATTTTCAATAAACTAAAATTTATTAGTGGGCGGCGGATCTAGAGAAGATGGTGTGGTGGTGAAGGAGAGGTGAGATGGTGGTGAGCAGCGGCGGAGCAGAAGCGGCGGCCGGGTGGAGAAATGGTGGAGCCAGGTGGAGAAATGGTGGATGAGTGCTGTGAGTTGGGACTTTGGCTGGGAGGGTGGGGAAGAAGGCTAATTTTTTATTTTTTCTTTTCTTTTCTTTATCTAATAAAATAAAATAAAATAGAAAACATATAAAAAAATTAATGTTACAGTATATATATTATTCTGGTTAAATGTATATTTTTTTTTAATATTTACAAAATAAAAAAATATATATATATAATATCTATAAAATTATAATATGTATTATTAATTGCTGAAAAACCCACGAGGACATTTTTGTCATTTTACCTTCAGTCAAAGCCTAAAATCACAAAGGGTGCAGTGTGCTTCAAAAATGTTAACATAAGGGGGTGTTGGTGAGTTTTTTTATCGCAGGGGGTTATCTGCCAATTAGAGATAACACAGGGGTAGTATTTGCAATAAGCTCGTCTTTTATAATATGCTCTGTTTTATTTTCATCTTGTTCATGTTATAATCATATACAATTTTCAAGTCTATATTAACTAACTCTGAGATTTATCTTGTATTTTCGGTTTAACAAGATGCAATGTGTCTTGTTAAACCCCTTTTCTTTTCCATTTGTGTGAAATTATAAGTCACCTGAGTGGCACGTACAACTTCCATTCAATTTAGCTAGAAAATTAAATGACGGACCATTTTTGTTAAACAATGACATCATTAGGAACTACTGTTATAACTGAAAATATTTATGGACAATATCGAAAAAGTTGATAAAGTATGAGGATGTAATTTTTCCATTAATAATTATATGAAAACTGATGCATAAAACAAAGTATATAAAACCAATGCTTAAAACATAAAAGTCACGTGTAAAATTGAAATAGGCACGTTTGGAAATACATCTCGAGTCACAAAAAAGTATTTGAAAGATCTTCCCCAAATCTGAAAAAACGGTCAGAAAAAATCGAACTCAAAAATTCCGTTTTCCACCTCAGTTATCAATCAGTAGTAACAGCAAACATGTTCTGTAAAAATCTGTAAAATCTCCATCTCTACCTGTACCGCACTGTTCTCTCTCTCTCTCCAAACTTTTTCTTTTCAAGATTCTCTCTCTTAAATTCGTAAAACTTCCATGATCACCATCACAAAGATCCCTTACCAACCCACTGTCCCAAACCCAAAACCCACTCCGAATTCTCAATTTTCCGGCGCGGCGGTGAATCTCAGCTTCCAAATCGCGAAGAGATCAAGAAACACTAGGGTTTGTAGACTCTGGTGGGCGGGCGACCGTGGGGAAATGGAATTTATAAGAAATTTGAGCAGGGCCTGCTTCAGGGGGAACAGCTCGAACAAGGAAAGGAAGGTGGAAATTGAATCCGCCAATGGCGGCGAAGATGTCTTTGATGCGGCGGCGGCGGCGGCCGAGGCCAGGGTGAAACCCGACCACCTCGTTATCATGGTTAACGGCATAATTGGGAGGTAGAGATATTTTTTTGTGGGTCTTCTTAAATTTATGCAATTTTCTTATTGTATTCATATTGAGATTTCTGCTTACGGATTTGTTCATTAGTAAAATTCTATTAATTTAGCGAAATATTAAATTATCGAACTAATAATTTAATACGTTTTTACTGAGTCTTGACCGAGAGAAATTATTATATAAGCGAGGTTATTAATTTATCGAGGTTTTACTGTATATATAAATTGCTATTTTTGCTTAACATTTGTTGTATCCAGTGCTGCAGATTGGAGATATGCTGCTGAGCAGTTTGTGAAGAACCTTCCGGATAAAGTCGTTGTTCACCGTAAGTTATTTTCTTGGCTTGCTCTCGAACATTATGGTATATTGTATTATTACATTAGAGATTTCCGTACGTTTGTTAAGTTCTCGATGCCTGTCTATTAATTGCTTGTCGAAAAATACGGATGCTAAACTTTGCATTTGTTTTTACCACAACTCATAGTTTCTTTTAGGGTTGGGCATGGGTAGGGTCGGGCAATTATCGGCCAGTAAATATTATTTCAACGTTAAGAAAATAAGAATTACAATTAAATATTTATAATAAATTTTTATTATTGAAAAAGTTGATTGGCCGATATTAACCGACCAGCCGACTTTTGAGTAAGCTAAAAACCACAGACCGACACATTCATATGTAGGTCGGTCAAATACCGGCCCGACAACAAAAGTATCGGCCAAAAAAAGCGGGTCGAAAGTGGGTTGGTTGGCCGATAAAACCGATCCATGACTGCCTTAATACATATCTGGTCAAGGAAATAATTTTGAGTATAATTTGACTCTACATATCTTTTTGACTCTACATAATTTGACTCGTGTTTTCATAGACATCTTTTGTGCAAAACTGCAGTGTTGTTGTCATTTCTATTCCTTCTATCTAAATTCAAAAAAAAGATTTTTTGTGTTGTTTTGAAGACTTTAAGGTAATGTTGAACATGTGATTGTGAAATAGGCAGCGAGTGCAATCCATCAAGGTTGACTTTCGACGGTGTTGATAGAATGGGCGAAAGGCTAGCTGAAGAGGTACTTTGGTAATACCATATTTACCCTCCCTTCTCACTGTACGAAAAAAAAAATTCCGTAAATTGAATCTTTTTTTTGCGAGCGAACAATACGATTCTCAAATTATGCATACATAGTGCAGGTATTGGATGTTATAATGCGTTGGCATGGAGTGGATAAAATCTCGTTTGTGGCTCACTCGTTAGGCGGACTTGTTGCACGATATGCCATCGGAAGGTTATATAAATTTTCCGATAAAACGGAACAGCTTTGTGAAGAAAGTATCGGTGGACTTGAACCGATGAATTTTGTGACGTTTGCAACTCCACATTTGGGTTCACGAGGGCATAAACAGGTGATTTTTTTTTTATTATTATGTCATTCAGTCGTGTATTCGTTGATGTCATCTATGGGTGGAAATCAGACTTCAAATCGGAACTAACATTTTTATAAAAAAAAACCATTTTTTTTAAATTTTCTGAAGTGAAGAGTTAATTAAATTATGTTTCAAAAAGAATTCGAAATCGGGATTTCGGAAATTGGAATGGGAAAACTTGTTTCCAAATCAGAAAGTTATGAATTAGAATCGGCGGAATTCGAAAAATTCCATTTTTTTTATGTAACCTAAAATATAAAATACATAATAATTTTGATATTAATGTACTTTTTCGGAAAAAAATGGAAGTTTCGGAAAATAAAATTGGAAATTGGAATGTCATTATATTCCAATTCCAAGCCTAAAAATTCAAAAAAAAAATCGTAAATTGGAATTTTCAGGATTCGAAATGAGAAATATTGTTCCAAAATCGGAAAATTTTGAATCAAAATTTGGCGGAAATTCGAAAATTCCGTTCCAATTTCCACCCATAGACTCTAATCTGTTATGTTTTGAATCTTCAGCTCCCACTCCTATGTGGCCTTCCTTTTCTGGAAAAAAGTGCGTCGCAAACTGCGCATTGGATTGCCGGAAAATCGGGAAAGCATCTTTTCCTCAACGACAATGATGATGGGAAACCACCGCTCTTGCTGAGGATGGTTAATGACTCCGATGACCTACATTTCATGTTAGTATTTTACTTAATTATTAATAATTTTAAACAACAAAACAAAAAGAAAAAAAAAAGATGGTGTTGTCTACTATTTGTTTATTTGCTGAACAGAGTTGTAAAAAACATGCATGCAGATCAGCGTTACGTTCATTTAAGCGGCGTGTGGCGTATGCCAATGCAAATTACGATCGTATCCTTTTTAAAGAGTTTTTATGATGATACACTTTTTTTTTGTTGTAATAAACTATGATGTTTTGCCTTTAACGCGGTACCCTAAGATGTGGTGGGGTGGAGAACTTCATCGATTCGCCGGCAGAATGAACTACCAAAGGTATTTATGTATTTTTTTATTATTTTTTTAACTCGTTGTCTTATAATAGTTTATTAAATACAAAAGTCCACTAGATCATTTTTTTTCGACAGGAAAATCTTCTTGTGAGTGATAGTAAGTATCCTCATATTGTACATATCGAACGAGGAGCAATTGAAGATGGAATTAGTAAAGTATCCTCTGCTATTGGAACGCAAGTTATCGATTTGGAAGGTTAGTCAGATACTCTTTTGTTTTCTACTGACAAATTTTTTTATTTTATTTACTGCTGGTTTCTCATGTGTTGTGCCGGCAAAAATCGCGATTCTCGTATTATTGTGGTGGTTCTTGTTTTTGTCCTTTTTCTGCTGCAAAGAGGTTGGAACTAAATCCTAAATATGCAAATTTTGAAAAAAAGTCGTGCTATTTCAATTGAATCTTTGCTTTAGAAATGAAGTATTTTAATGTTATAGATTTCGACTTTGACTCGGTTGTGAAAGTGACATGTTATAGCAATTAGAATAGTGTTTAGGCAATATAACCTATGGGTAAATTACGGCCACCCCACTGAGGTGAGGTCAAGTTACAACCACCACTCAACTATGAATCTTCTTACATGTACATCCTTGCGGTGTCAAACTTAGTGGAATCTTCAAAATTATGTGGAATATTCTCCAGTTTGTACCCGTTTGACCTCATTCGAGCTCCACATTTTAATTAAGACGATCATCAGATGTGTCTCTTGGCTTGTAAATATCATTTTGTGGTGCATCAGAAACTGCATTTTGTGCAAAGTGAGTACAAACTAGAGATGTTGAACTTGACTCAATTTAGGAGTCTTTTATTTCAAGATACTCTGATTTTAAGCCTTCGTGAAGATGATGGGAATGAAAATAATTTTAGAGCCAAGGTCGATGTAGGACCTCAGATTCTACCATTTATTTAAAATTGATTTTAGAATGTATGGTAGCCATCTCAGGTTCTATATGTGGTATCAGAGTAAATTCCACGAGTTCGATTCCCAGTGAAAGCAAATTGTTGAGGGCGAGATTGTTACTTGAGTTTGGCAGCAATTGTCGATGTGGCAGAGGCACCGACGTGCAACTTGGCGCCCTGCTGGGCCACACGCCAATTTGACCAATAGCATCATTCCCTAGGCCTCGTTTGGTTGGGGTGATTAGCCATAATTAACTAAATAAATGGACCTTGTTTGATGTTTGGTAAACCCAATAACTTCTTCGATCGACCCAAAAATATTATGTTATCATGTTTTATCTTGCCCTTTTTAGGGAGTTTGCTTGTTTGACGTCCGGGGATCCGGTAAAATAATTTGGTTTTCATGAGATTATTTAATTTAATCTAATCTTGGCTAATCCTCTCTTAGCAGCCAAACGAGGCCCTAATGAATAATGTCATCAACATATACTCTACATACCGCTATCTTCCCACCAACTTGAGTACCTTAGGCTCTGTTTGGTTTAAGGAAAATAGTAAGTAAAAAAGGAAAAATATAAAGTAAATTGTTTTTCATGTAAAATATTATTTAAAGTATTTTGTAGGAAAATTGGAAAAAATATTGAACTAAAATAGGGGAAATGGGTTTCTTTTCATTTGCTTTTGCATTTTCATTTTCCTTCGTTTCAAATTACACAAAACAAACAGAGCCTCGCGCACATTGTTTGAAAAACAATATATTTTCTTGAGTAGGAATGAGCCTTGTATCTTTCTAAGGGGATCTATTTGAACATCGATTTTTAGGTGCAACATAATAGGCTCTGTTTCTTTCGTTTACTATTGTTATTATTTATTTATTTTGTTATTTTTCTTTTGAAAATGTATTTACATAAAAAGAAAGTCCAATCTTCATAGTAGTTCAATATTTTTTGTGTGTAGAGGAGATGATTAGAGGTCTTAATCAAGTATGTTGGGAACGAGTTGATGTTAGCTTTCATAAAAGCAGACAGCGATACGTTGCACACAACACCATTCAGGTAACCCCCCTCACTTCGAATTCTAACTTTCCTCGAAATTAATTATCTTAATATTTAATAGGTTGTTTTATTAATTTTTATTTTTTTCCTCTTAATTATTTATAAACTGGATATTGTAGTAACTTATGTCATTGTGTATTGAAGTAATTATAAGACGATCTTTTTTCCGTTTCTTCAGGTAAAGAGCTACTGGTTAAATTCTGATGGTGCTGATGTTGTTCAACATATGATAGATAATTTCCTTCTGTAGCTGCATGTATTTGTATATATACATATGAAGTAAGTAGTCTTTGTCCAGTTTGTAATTTAACAAGTCGGATTATATTATTTTTATTTATCCTTTTGTGTACATTGTCTCGATTTTGATTAATTTGGCGCAGTCGATATTGTTACGTTAAAAAATTAAAAGAACTGCGAAATTATCTGAACCTTTTGTTGTGTGTGCTTGTTGGGAAGAAACCTTTTGACACAATTTCACATTCGAGACTAATTAGAATACTAATCGGGATTCTAACGCTCCCCGATCACTACCACAAGAGGCACTTCCTCCGCATGATCTACGGCACCCAATCCCCAACCGGGGCCCACGTGGACGTAAAGTTTGTTTTCTGCAATCTCACAAAGGAGGACCAAAAAGTCCTAGTGGCGCTTGAGATCATGCGTTACGATGACATCATCATCATCCTTGATTGCCGCGAGAACATGAACAATGGTAAGACCTACACCTACTTCTCTAGCCTCCCCGAGATGTTCATAAATAATGAATCGAATTCGCAATATCCACCTTACCATTACGTGGTGAAAGGCGACGATGACGTGTACTTTCGGTTGCAAAATCTAGTGGACTCGCTTGTACCTTTGCCTAGGCAAGACTTGTACTACGGGTACGTTATCCCATGCCCTAGTATGGACCTGTTCGTGCATTCCATGTCGGGTATGGGTTATCTAGTTTCTTGGGATATTGTCGAGTGGCTTATGGAATCGGATATTCCGAAGAAGCATCTAGAAGGTCCGGAGGATAAGATTTTCGGCGATTGGCTTAGAGAGGGGCGTCGGGGAAAGAATAGGTACAACGCGAAATGGGCGATGTACAACTATCCGGAGCCGCCGACGAGATGCACGCACGAGCTGTGGCCGGATACTATAGCCGTTCATCTTTTGAAGACGCAGGAGAAATGGATCCGGACGTTGAATTATTTCAATGTCACCCGGGATTTGAAACCCTCCAAATTGTATCATATATCTTAGGTGATTATACTAATTTTTATCATTATAAGATGTTTAATTCTTTCTTGCAGTGTGGTTGTACTTGTACCAACACACCAAGCAGCTTATTTTAGAGATTGTTTATTGGTTAAGTTATATATATTACAAAAAATAAAATTCTTTAATGCAATTGAAACAATTTTATTCTTGATTCTGTGTCAAAATATGACTTGCTCTCTTCAGAAAATATAATACAAGCCATGAAACAAATTGGTGTGTAAGAAACAAAATCTCCCTACTAGACATTTCCTCGAACAGCTTCAAAGCATTTCAAATTGCAGAAGTAAACGTGAGACTCAAAATGCCACACAATGAATCATTGTTGCAAAAACAAGAAAACACGCTTTTGTCCAATTAACTTAAACGCAGAAGAAAGGTTGGTCCAATGAGCCACCGAATTTACATGGGCCTTAACAAAAACAATTAATGAATTAAATACAATTAAGGAGTAATCGAATGTAATTAATAAAACTTTCGTCCCACATCGGACGATTAAGATACAATGAAACCGTTTATATTAGCGTTGTTTAGCAGTACAGGACACGACCTTACTTGAACAGGATCTGTTCTATAGGCTCGTACCTCTGTATCCTTGATTTCTAAGGAGACAGGAAACCATGTCTGGTGGATGAATCATGGCTGCTCGACCAGAGCGTGATTAACGGACTCACTGGCCTTGCCCAGTTGACTCAGTAGAGGATCGTTCTCGGCTAGCTTCGGCTGGTTGAGGTGGTCGTGCAGCTGTCTGACAGACTAAATCAAAATATTTTTTGCTCCTTTTCCCCTGTTTTTGCAATTTCTTTTATATTGACCACAAATTTTCCAGCAATTTCAATTATTGCCCAGTAAACCATAATAATAATAATAATATCTGCAATCATGGTTTTATTATAGTTTATTTCAATAAGACGGTATATTTTATTTCTTAAATAAATTAAATTTCGAATCATAAAAAAAAAAAGATTAAATGGAGTGTAAAATAGCCTTGAATTGTAAAAAATCGAATTTCTCTTAAACTCAAATCGAAAAGTAGAAAAATCAAAATGATAATAATAATATTAATTAAAATAATATTAATATCTGCAATCATGGTTTTGTTTTGTTTTATTATAGTTTATTTCAATAAAACGGTATATTTTATTTTTTAAATAAATTAAATTTCGAATCATAAAAAAAAATTAAAAAATTAGATTAAATGTAGTGTAAAATAGCCCTGGATTGTAAAAAAATCGAATTTCTCTTAAACTCAAATCGAAAATTAGAAAAATCAAAATGAATCAATAAATCGAATCGTCAGTCGGAAGAGTTTGACAACCATATTTGCGACACTATTTTTTTATGATTCGAAAAATGGGGCTATTAGTGAGAACCCCCTCTACTGTTTTTTTAATAAGGGAAGATCCAGCCACATTTTCAATATTAGTATTAGATCCGTTATTTTATGTATAGCAAAAATACCCTTTTAGAAGCTACGACCCAAATAAACAAAAAATATTGGAAACCAAATCTGTCTTCCCTCCAATCTTCTGAATCCACAATATCTTGCACCCACCTTCCTTCCAATCTCCCACCTCGGTGAAAAATTCTAGGGCGAAAACAACGACCACGACAATAGTTTCTAGGGCAAAATATCGACGACGCTGCAGATTTGAGGTGAAATTCGGTTGAACCCATCGACGCCATATGCCAACAGTAAGTTCCCCGCACTGAAATAGTCATGTTCGAAACATACTACATAGTCTTCAAATAATAGAACCCGGTTTTTTTTCTTTCTGTTTATTGGTCTACAGGTGATATATGATAAAATCGACGAACCATATTCGAATCGTGGACGATGGTAACTAGAACTGCTATTTTTTTTTATTTTTTTTAATATTTATTGAAATTTATACAACACTGTCTAATATAATTTACTATTTTGTTGAATTTTTTTGTTAATTCTAAATGAATGGGTGTTGTAAATGATTGATGGTGTATGTGATAGTACAGTTGATCTTTATTGTTGTATTGAAATACATAGTTGAATGAGTATGCCAACTTGTGATAGTGAGACCGCACTCACTATTCAGGATGTGTTAGAAAATAGTTTGTTAACCAAGAAATAGTTGATTAAAATTAAATCACTTTATCTTGTTCAATGTTTGTCTGACTGTATTTGTTGATGAAGTGTTTGTTGATGAAGGAATAATTGATCAACTGTACTTGGTGAAAGCGTAGTTGATTTCTACTATATACGACTAACACATTGAAATTTATTTAAATAAAATAATTGTTTACCTCATAACCAATGCATATAAAATAGTTATTTTAATATTTAAAAGGTGATGTTGTTAATTTGTATTTAATGCGTTTTGATTTTCTACTATTTATGCGGGCTTGAGGAGTAAAATTTAATTTAACAAGATAGCAACCCACTTTATAAAAATAGTCGATTTTATATTAAAACTAGTTGATTATAGAAAATAACCAATAAGTAGTTCTCTGCAGCCGTGTTTCATACGCCAAAGAAGATTTTCGAGGAACATTCAATCATCAAGGAAGAAACCGAAATAGACTACCTCCAAATGTGGACAAAAATTGTGAAGACTCTTCTAGAATGGGGGAAGTGCAAGGAAAACAGGACGAACAAAAACGTAAACATTAACATCGCTTGATCATTGTAACCCTTAAAATGGATTTTGTTTAATGTTGTTGACAGTTGTTATTTAAATTTACGTTTTCTTAATTTTCAAGATATGTTTAGACTTCGTTTTGTTATAGCATATATTGTCCTATTATATAAATATATGTAATATAGATCATTTTTATGTTAGCATGATTAATTCTTCAGTTAAAACAAGTATATTTATGTAATTAACTCCAACACAACTATAATTTTTCAGTTAAAACAACTATATTTCTGTGAATAACACCAACACAACTATATTTCTTCTGTTAAAACAACTACAAATTATCAAGATCAACTATCAAATCTAGTTGATTAATGAAATCGACTAGAACAGTAACGGAAACAACTATAATTTTGTAAATAACACAAGCACAATTTCAACAAACGAACAACATCCGATTGACAATTAATTGAACAAAATTAGCTCCCAAAACAATACAAGTTTCAACAATTCAGCACTAAAAATTCCGAAAAGAAAAAAATTATGAACTTATAAATTAAAAAACGAAGCAAATCCTGTGCGTCTGCCTCGTTTCCCTCTCCCCAAAGTAAGCTTCGCTTTCATTCGATTCCTCCATTTCTAAAGGATAATTATCCGACAATTTGTGATAAATCTTCTTCCTTTAGAAAATAATTTGTTCATTTGTTTTCTAATTGAACGATAAAATGGGTCTGGAAGCAGTCGCAGAGGCAACAGTTGAATTCTTGAACAAGGCAGTAAAAACAGAAGACGTGATGGAGATGACAGAATGACGATTGGGGTACTAAAGATGTGATTAGGTTTTATGATTATAAGATTTGGAAACAGTTGATTTAACGTGATCACATATTTTTATTAGATTTAATTATTCAGGGTCAAATCCAATTTTAATTAAAAAGGATTTTAATTATTAAGTGGGCGGATCTCACTAATATTAGAAAAGAGGTTGTATCCACCTTCATATAGTCAAATGTATTAGGAGGTTCTCATTAATTATCCCTAAAAATAAACATTTTTAATCAATTGGAAAATACTCCTACTATGCAACTTAATAAATGTATCCAAAATTTCCACCCTTATTATCCTTATCCAAATTCCTATTGATTAGAATAATTTAGGTATTTCACCAAAATAAGTTAAGAATTAAAATTATTTTGGAGATGCATAAGTTAAAAAATACTTCAAAATAGATTTTTCACAAGGGAGATATGCAATATCCTATAGTTTGAAAAATACAGCAAAAATAATTATAACCCCTCTTCTTGTCCGCCTCTTTCTATATTCCGTATCGTCTCGTTTCTCACCTCCACTTCCAAACTTCTCTATCTTCTCTCTTCTCCATCACATCATATTCTAGATTTTCATCTTGGTCGCCGCCCTCCTTCCTGATTTTATTCCACCGTCGTCGATCTCCTTCTAAATTTACACCACTATCGTCGTCTTTCTGGACGAAAATCTCTATAAAGTCGAGTAAAGAGGGAAGTTTTTTGCTTGTTGGAAGGACTTGGAAAACATTAGCAATTCGAGTTATATTTCCATACAAAGTGACTGTATATGACTATAGTCATATATTCATATATAGATATTGACGCTAATTATTGTTGTTTGTTGAAAAATGTATGCTTGTGATTGTATTTGATCTTATTGTAGGCTACAAATTAGTTATAATATATTTGTTTTTTCACAATTGACGATATTCGATCTGTTTAAATTATATTGGATTGGATATAATTGATTGTACTACATTATATAAAGAGGATTTTTTTTAAGTTGAAAATGTAAGAAACGGTAATATAAAGAAATAACATGATTACGATTGACTATAGTCATGTTCTATTCGACGTCGTAAACTTATCGAGAAAAAAAATCATTCTTTTTAAATTAATATATTAAAAAACAAAAAATATATTAAAAACAAATATGAAAATACTAATCCAGTCCAAATAATAATAATTATTTATTTCTTATTGATTTGAGAGGCATATTGCTAATTACCCTTTTTTCATATTGTTTGCAAAAACTTCAATTTTTTTTATTTTTAATAATTATTTCAAACTTTATTGATAAGTAATTACAAATTTTAAATCAACTAATATGGAGATGGCAAACAAGACCTTAGGGCATCTCCGACCGGTCACTATATAGCCATTTTTTCATCTAATTTATGTGTTTTTAGCCTCCTACCCGAAATTCCTATATCACCATTACACCTAAAATTATGGAGATTTGGTTTTAGCCTCCCACCGTGGTCAACCCCCATATCACCATATACACAAATCCTATTTTTTCACCAAATTTTTTGGTGAAGAAATTTTCATCTCCCACCGGTCCACCATTTTCCTATTTTTTCCACCAAATCCTATTTTTCCTACCAAATATAGAGGTGAGAATAGGATTTGGTGTAATTAACACCATTTTGTTAAGTAGCATATAAAATGACGAGTTTAACTAATTGCACATGATTACCAACTTACTAGCATATTTATCATAAATATTAGGGGTGTGCACGAGCCGATCTCGCCACTTTTGGCAGGCTCGAGCTCGTTGAATTCGTTTTTTTTTAGGCTCGAGCTCGAGCCATTTTGTCGAGCTCGAGCTCGTACCTAAGCTCATTTTGTAGGTTTTTTTTTAATATTTTTTTAATTATTATTTTATTATTTTTAACTAAATATTTTTTTACAAGTCGGCTCGCCTCGTTTACGACCCCTAGTAAATACATTGGTGTTAATTACTAAATTAGATTTTAAAATATAAATACATTTATTATTATTAATAAAAACATTAATTCTAATACTATAAATATGCTTTTTTTTAATTAATTTGTATATTGTTTTATCAGTGTTGATTAATTCATTTATTTACTTAACTAATACGCTAATTGCTATTAATAAAATATAACAAGCAACAATAGAATAATTAACGAAACACACTTTAATTGATGAAATACTGGACAAGACATTTAAATTGTAAACATAATTTTTGAAATTGATAACATAAATTTTAAATTATGTAGTTAAAAAAAATTATTACTTAACATTGGATCTATAATTAATATTTATGAAATAAAATATAATAAAATTACGATTAACATTAGATTTATAAATTTGGGGCATATATGGTGAAATGCCATGGGAGACCAAACAAAATCTCATTTTCTATAAATGGTGAAATGGTGAAATATTATTATTTTAATATTTGGTCTAAATTTTGGTGAAATCCATTGGAGACCAAAAACACCATTTTTCCACCAAAAATGGTGAAAGGGTAAAATGGTGTGCTACCGGTGGGAGATGAACCCATTTTTTCACCACAAAAAATGGGATTTGGTGAAAAAATTGTGAAACAGGTCGGATATGCTCTTATTACAGAATACAGATCTACTATGTCTTATTTACTTCATTTCGAAGAAAAATGAAAAGGGTAATTTATAGCCAGACCCCTAAGGTAAGGTTAAATTACAAAAAAAATCCTCATGTTTTGGTAATTACAATTACCTATTAACTATGAATCTTTTTACACGTCTACCCTGCAGTATCAAATTTAGTACAATATTCTCCAGTTTGTACCCGTTTTACCTCATCCGAGCTTCACATTTTGAAACAATGTGATCAAAAGATATGTTTTTTGGCTTGTACATATCAGATTGTGGTGCATCTGAAACTGTATTTTTCCACAAAATGAGTACAAACTAGAGAACATTCCACGGAATCTAGAAGATTCTGTTGAATTTGACACCGTAAAGGTTTGAATTTGACACCGTAAAGGTGAACCGTGAACGTGTAAGAAGATTCATAATTGAGGGGTGCCCAGAGTTGTTAATTGTAATTTACCCAAAAGAATTTTTTCTTACGAAGAATCGTAAAACCCCCCTCTCTATCTCTGAGACTCTGACCATATTGCCCTTCACACACAGTCACTTCGATTCTCCACCGACGACCTCTCCAAACCCCCCACTAATCTACGCCGTCGACGCCGCGGCGGCGTAACCTCAATACCCCCAATCAGATCCCCAATTAAGCTCAAAACGACACCGTACAATGTCTTACAGCGACACGATCCCGTTGCACCCGAGCTCCCAATCTGACATTGACGAGATCGAGAACCTCATCCATATCCAGCAATCCTCCGTCCTCCCTGCTCGCCCACCTTCACCTCCACGCGCCTCCATCCCCGTGTCATCCACCCCCTCCTTCATCCCTTCCAATCTCCCCCCTCCCGCCCCTCCCAAACCCATCCCCGCCCCCTCCACCACGTTCACCGTTCCCTCTGTTGCACCTCCGAACCCCCGATCATCCACCACCACCACCGGCGGCGGCGGTGCCGCGGCATCCGGGTTCGGGTCGGGCCCGAACACTCTCACGGAGCCTGTTTGGGATACAATTAAGAGGGATTTGTCGAGGATCGTAAGCAATTTGAAGCTGGTTGTGTTTCCGAATCCGTTTAGGGAAGATCCGGGGAAAGCATTGAGGGATTGGGATCTTTGGGGCCCGTTTTTCTTCATTGTTTTCCTTGGCCTAACTCTTTCATGGTCTGCTTCCGTTAAGAAGGTACGTTTGCTGCAAATTTCGGTTAATAGTACAACTTTTGGTTTGCACTCGATGATCATTTATGCATTGTGAAGTTTTCTCTTAGATGCATCAAAAGAATTTTTACTCACAAAAAACTTCGAACCATGAGCTTTTAAACCACAAAGAAGTTGGGGTAGACCGAGCACGATGTAAAATAAAAAACGTAGAAAACGGTTAATCGTAGAGCTATAATGAGAAATGAAGGTATCTATAGTCGGAAATTAATGATCCATTCGGTAGATTGTTTGATACCCAAGTAGGAAATAATTCAAAAATATCACTCAAAGAAGATGGAAGAAATGCTTAAACTTCAAGTAATGAATATGAAGTCTAAAACCCTTGCGCTTAGTGAACCTCTTTCGTAATTTTTTTTATTTGAATATTCTAATCACTACTTAGTGATCATTGTGTCATTATCTTGGCCCTGAGACCATATGCCATAATTAGGTTTGAATTTGAACCCACAAAACATTTATCATGTATAGTCGTGAGAGTTCCGTAACGATGTTCAAATGTTCAGAGAAAAAAGGATTACTTTAGATTGGCAATTGGTTTTGATTTTGGGTGTGTGTACATGGAAAATTGTCCCGTAATAATGTTGGTGTGGGTTGATATTATATTGCTCGTATCTGCAGAGCAGATTTTATTGGCAAAATAGAATAAAATCAGAAGAAAAATAAGATCGCATCTTACTTGTAGCTTGATCCTAGAAACATTGTAGAAATCGAAGCCTTTTTGTCATTGTTCGTCAACCTTTATCTTCTTTATTCCTGATAAAAGAGTGTTTGATCAGAAAAAGGATAGAGATTAATGACCGGATCAAAATAAGGTTTCTCATTGTAACGTAAAACCATGTCGTACAAGACTTGATTGGCATATCTACATACGTAATACGGCGTATAATCTTACTGATTGTGACTACTAATGGTTGTCTGATATGGAAAAAACACGATGGTCGTTTAATAATCCAGTAATGTGGTAGACTTGTAATTTAGTGGATTTGTCGTCTTTATTAGGGTCTGAGATAGAGCAGATGAAATCACGGGATCTATATATATACATATATATATATATATATATATATATATATATATATATATATATATATGTTTGATGCTTTTATGCAATCTGCAAACCAAAAGGAAATATTACTAAGAACGGTAATTTTAATTTTGAAGTTATATATTCCCGTTGGAAAGTAATCGCTTTTCTTAGTTATTGCACATGCTCTAAGTACATAATATCTATGTTTACGTAAGTGAAAACGGGAGGAAACTTGTGAGTTGTTACGATCTCTGTTTGAGATTATTCCACAAAGGATAGGCTTGAAGTATCACATAGTTTTGAACAGACGTCGTTAAATTTGGTGAAGGTTCTTACGATGAATTATAATTAAGAGTAACATTTTCTGCAAATCCATAGCCTAAAGTAAATTTCATCAGGACTAAAATCTTGAAAACTCGTTAAATAAATCGATATGAATAAAGTTCCTTCGCTTCTTTTCTTTCTATAGCATCTTCTATGGTTATACAGTTGCTTCTTGTATATATTTGTATCTATCTCATGGTTTCGGTATCAAGCCTATTATTTTCATGCTGTGTACCTATTGTCTAAATAGCCATCAATTTAGTTTCTTCGTATTAATAACATGTCGACTTATATTTCAAAATTCTGTAACATTTAAAATAAAATATACTAAATACGAAAATTCTACAAGAACACCTCACAACCAAAGACATGTAAACGGCTCCCCTGCCACCTGCCCTACACCTTAAGACTTTCAAAACACTGTACTATACGTATTATGAGAGCCAACTCAGAGATAATTACATTTCTAGTCCCTAAACTTTACCTCAATTCCACTTGTCGTCCCCATTGTTTTAAAAAAGTTATATTCGGTTAAGCTGTTTAAATATTCAACTTCAAAACCAATTTCGCCTTATTAGCTAACACTCTTTTCTTTCACATGTTGCATCGTCTTCCAGTCTGAAGTTTTTGCTGTCGCGTTCGCCCTTCTTGCAGCCGGTGCTATAATCCTAACATTGAATGTTTTGCTCCTGGTACTCTCTCTCTCTCTCTCTCTCTCTCTCTCTCTCTCTCTCTCTCTCTCTCTCTCTCTCTCTCTCTCTCTCTCTCTCTCTCTCTCTA